TTGAGGAAATGATGTATCAGACCAGGAGATGTGTTATCAGGACTCCACGACTCTTTGATTGTTTGCTTTATGATTTCCTAACAATGTTAGCTGAATAGGGACAAAGCTTCACTGTATAAATTACTGTACTGTAAGGAACAGGTGAAATATATGGACAGCTGGTCAGAGGAGGGACAAGTGGTGTCCTCTTACAGTTAAAGACAGTAAAGTAGCTGGGGCTCCTGGATCGACCATGGTAAGAAAAAATACATATTGTGGAGTTGAACATGAATTGTTGAATTAATCATTGTTACAGTACACGCTGGACTTCACTCTCCCAGACTATGTGAAATTATTTTAAAAAAAAGCCAATTTACCTGAAATAATTGAAGTGTGGCTTCTAACTAGCTTAGTTAGCATTTATGTTTTATTGTGTTCTTTCATGTTTTGGACGCTGATCGTTTGAGGATCATGGTTATATGATGTTTTAATTCCATTTTGATTGATTTAGTTTTTGTCTTTTCTCTTTAGGCGTGGTTCAGCTTGCAGTTTTACCTGGTTGCTTTGAAGTAGCCATCAATTGAAACTACACATTTTCAGAACAGTTAACACACTTGCCTAAACAGTGTCACTGATGGCAAAATGACACATTTCATTTGCAAAAGGCTCCAGCCATGCTAAGACATTTAAAATAGGTAACAAAAGCAAATTTTGCCTTCAAACAACGCAACTTGCAAACTAGTATAGGAGCTCTTTCAGTCAGTCATTATACAGTGGACAACAAAATACAAAATACACAATTCAGTGTGAATCAGTGCACCATTGCTTGGCATTGTAGCCTATAGCCAGTGTCATTTGTCTTTCTATATAGGCTGTGTCAAATTAGCCTTTTTGCAAAGATCACCACTTCCCTGATTTCACGTAGCTTTACGGCATTGTTTGTTGCAACCATGTTTACAATGGCTGCCTCCTGCTCAGCACTAAAATTGTCCCTTGACCACCAGAGAACGGTAGCCTTTGGATTCTATAAAGAATCTATGTAATGGAAATGGGGACGCGCATGAAGTATATCACCAGAGATATTTCTCCATCTAATGTACAGCAACATTACCTGTTCTCCTGTTGAAAAATTCTGACAATGGAAGCAACAGTGTTTCTGTTTAGAACAGGATGGATTCTTTGTCCAGCCTCTCTAAGAGAAAGGCCATGATTGATAATGTGAGCGATAATAGCTGCCCGAATTACATCTGAAACTTGAGTCCTTCCAACTACACCTTCACCTCACACACGGATTCCACTACCTCTTACTCTTACTGTCATTTGCCTTATACCTCCTCCATCCAGGCTGGAAAAAAGAAAAAACAACAAGAACCTGGCCCCTTTTTACCAGGCCCACAGACTGATTGCTAAGTGAAGATTTGTGTGAAGCAGTGTCAAACAGGAGCTTTAGTGATTCCACACTGATCTTGGTAGTTTCTAATAGTTAGGAATAGATGGTTTCTCTTTGGTTACCATAGCTAGAACAATGGAGTTTGGACTGTTTGAATGACATCCGTGTTGGTTGTTTTGCAAAAGAGTGGGAAAATGTGTCAATCCAATGAGAACGTGTTTACACATTTGCAATATGTGT